TTAGGAGCAGCTTTGGGTGCTTTTATATGAGTAGAAAGACTTCCCCACAGTTTTCTGGTTCCTCCCCATCAAACTCAGCTATTATTATCCCCTCTACAAATGTCCCAGGGTTCCATTCATCCTTCCTCTTGACCACAACACTGTTTTGCAAGGAGGATACAGCATTAACCTTACATGGGAGAAAGTCAGCACATGCCATATCTGCTGATGATGAAATGACTAAAATAATTTTATGAGATCAAATATCTGCATTGTTAATAAAACTTGGTACCACTTGCAGGATTTGCTTTTCCCTTGATGTAGAAGTATCAATTTAAAAAAAAATCTCACAGAATATAAAAAATTCTGCTTAATGCTAAAAAATTATTTTTTTTAAATTGCAATCACATCAAACATAACCATAACAACAATGGAATCCCATATTCATGAGCTTAACACCTAAGAATTTGTCAGGCAGCTTCTTTGTGGGAAAAATGTGTGGAATGTTTCTTGAAGAGCAGGTGGAATAGATCCAAGTAGTTCCATAATGTAAATTAGCCCAAATCCTCCTCCTTCAAGGAATGCATTATGTGCACTGCTGTTAAACCCTTAGGGGATGCAATGTCAGTTCCACTCCATGTTGTAGCTGAGACAATCCTTGCAGAATCTGAGCAAGTAAATATTTGCTGTGTTTGCACTGACAGAAGGCAAGCAATTTCTTGCAAAGAGCAGCAGTGGCAGGGTGTGAATGGAAGGTCCTGAAGGGGTGTCAACATTAACACTCTCCCCTAACTTTCTATGCATCAGTAGCAGAGTTTAGTCACACAAATCCTTAGTAACACAGAAATATCACGGTTTCTCTTTCTGTTTTGGAGCTATATCTTCTTTGTGGAGTAACTTTGTGGAGCGCCGGAGGTTCGGAGTTTGGGAGTGCGCCTGAAACCCTCCCTTACTATGGAGGCCCAGGTAGCAGCCACTGCCAAGTCGGCCTTTTATCATCTTAGGCTGACCTGGCTACAGTGATCCACGTGATGGTCACCTCGAGACTAGACTACTGTAACGCTCTCTACATTGGGCTGCCTTTGTCGTGGATCCAGAAGCTACAGCTCATGCAGAACGCCGCGGCCAGGCTGTTGATGGGTCTCCCCAGATGGGAGCACATCCAGCCTGTGCTGAGGACACTGCACTGGTTGCCAATAGCATACCAAGTCCGCTTCAAGGTGCTGGTTCTTACCTTTAAAGCCCTATATGGCCAGGGTCCAACATACCTATGGGACCGCCTTTCCCCGTATATACCCCAGAGAGCACTGCGGTCTGGGTCTCAAAATCAGTTGACCCTCCCTGGCCCGAGGGAGGCCAGGCTAGGTGCTACTAGGGCCGGGGCCTTTTCGGTGGCAGCCCCTACCTGGTGGAACGAGCTCCCGGAGATCAGTGCCCTGCGGGACCTTTCGCAGTTCCGCAGGGCCTGCAAGACGGAGCTCTTCCGCCAGGCATATAATTAGGGGCCGCCGCCATAGTGCACGGCCCGCAAAGTCATCATTGAGCAGCTGCCATAAGAGTGACGAGCAGAATAACATCTAAGCACTTTATGCTGGGAGCTGGAAATCCTTCTGGAAGCATTCCTTCTGATTGAATTTTAACTGCCGCCAGCACTTTGTAATGTATTAATTTTAACTGTTATGTTTTAATTGTATTATGTATGTTTTTATCATGTATTTATGTCATTGGAAGCCGCCCTGAGCCTGCTTTGCGGGGGAGGGCGGGGTATAAATCTGACAATAAATAAATAAATAATAACTGACCTGCAAGCGGCATAGATTCAGATGAACTTACTTTATTTTATCGAACATGACCAGTCCTTCATACCAAACATGCCAGTCTGGCATCCTGACCAAATACCTTTGTTTGGAGGAAAACAGATCCAACACAGAAGCCCTACACAGTAGAAGGCAGACTTTTACAGAATAAGCTCCATGTGGCCTTACCATTTCGTAATATTTTGAAAAAATGTAGCCAAATAAAAAAGTATCTTAACGGCATTTTAAAAAATCTACTCATTTAAATCTAGTCCTGTAAACTTCACATATCAGTACACCTTCATCAATGGACATGGTAACAAAGTAACACATTCAGAAAAGGCAGGTTTCTGCCATGAAGAGTTTTATCTGTCAAATCGGACAATAGGACAAGTTGCAAAAAGAAAAAAATTACAGGGAGAAGCAAATTTTACAAACAAAACAGGAAAAAGATTCTTAAGACTTTGTAATGTTCAGTTATAGTACCAAGTTAAGATAAAGAGCTGAACTGCAAAGGAAAAGACTAATTACAATATTGAAACCATTTTTATTTATTACTCCATCGTATTTTAGTACAGTGTACCAGAGCACCATTTATTCCCTGTTACCCAATTCAGTGGCTGAAGACCCAACACAGGACCTTCCCTTGGAACTTTAGGTCCTTGATTCATTTTGCTCCAAAGCCAGAAGACGCTCATCCTGGGATTCACTGAATTTCCAAGTGTAGCCCAAGCAGGGGATTCCCATTATGGGGCTTCTCCAGAAACAGGCCTCTGAATTCTGCCCCAGTGATATTGTGCCTGCTTGTTGCTCTGCAGGAGGTGGCCCAAGAAAAGGGGGGGGGGGGGGGGGGGGGGATGGAGCTGGCAAGGGCAGGCTGCCAACTGGGCTCAAGCTTGGCTCTCCACAGCAAACCACTCAGATGTCCCAGATGTCTCCACTTCCGACTCTACTTTGAGTACAAGGCAGGGAGTCATCTAAGACAAGCTCCCGATTCCCTAGAACAGCAGCGCCACCTACTGATTGAAGACTATAATGTTCAGCCCTTGTAGGGAACATACAGGAATAACTAATTGTGAAATATCATTATGAGCCATAAGCTTCCCTGGCTGGTGGCACATCACATTAAACCATATCCTAATGGATATAACTTTTGCATACAAATTATTAACTATTTCCAACATGCATTTTTTTTTGGGGGGGGGGGGGTGATGTACCAAGGGGAGAGGAGCAAAGCAACTTTGTCCCTTCCTGCATCTCCTTCAGGAAAGATATTCACAGCGTCTCATCATAATTTTGACCTGAAGAACTGGTCATGAAGGGACGACAGTATTATCCGGAACGTATGCTGATGGGTCATGCTGGTTAATGGAACCCCATCTTGGACTGATAAGAGTTTAATATCTAGAGCAGCGGCACTTTCATTGTGATGGATTGTTTTATTCTGTTTTTAGTTTTTTAATCATGGCATATGCCTCTTCTGTTAGCCGCCCTGAGCCTGTTTGGGGAGGGTGGGATATAAATTTAATAAACAAACAAACAAATAAATAATTAAAATAACTTTGACTCCTGCAGTCCTACCTTCCCCCTAAAGGTCACAGACAGCCCAGGGAGCAGTGAAGAGACCTTCTTAGCCCCATCGTTGTTATGTATTGTTCTTTACTGGCCCAATGCTCCTCAGTATGATCTACACAGAATACACGCTCCTTAGAAGAGGCAGGGGCAGCACCGGTGAAGGTCTTCGTCCCCAGCAGGAATCCCCAGTTCCCAGGCTGCAAGCCTACTGCCAACCCCAGTGTCCCCCAGCATATTAATCGTGGCTACCCAGGCCAACTGAGTTCCTTCTAAAACAGCATTTATTATTTGTAATGCATAAACTTTCAGGATTCTTTCAAGGGATGCCCTGAAGTTCAGTTAGAACTGCCTTCTCTTTGGGGAGCAAAAAATTCTCACCCCACAAGCAATGCTCCCTGTAAGCTGGGGAATCTTGTGAGCAAAAATTCTACTTGGTGAGCTACTGGCATTGAAGTTGTGAGCGAGCGATTCGGCTGCTGCATATATTAGTTTGCTCTGGAGCCATCCATCCTGAGCAAAGACAAAAATGTGTGAGCCGGAGGCTAAAAAACTGTGAGCTGGCTCGCACTTAGAGGGAACACTGCCCACAGGTCTAGAGACTAAAAAAGGTACATTGAAGATGTTCCATGCCTTGAAGATGCTTAAGTTCAATGACTGACACACCCTGTGCCTCATCCAGGCTGGACTGCTCTGACACGGAAGAGGCATTTCATGTTCCATGCTGCCTCCTGTGATAAACATCACCTTGGGAATCTTTTCTTCAAATCTCCTTATGATACGATAGTATAAAAATACCATCTATTCAACCTGTAAGTGTATTTCCCCCCAGCATCTTCCAAGTGTGTCCCCGAAATATTCAGGGAGAAAAATCAGGGGCAGAATACCTATATTGATCAGTAGCCACAATTAAAGCACTAGGACCAGACTGCAAACAAACAGAGGGCCTTTAAAAACAGAAACTAAATTTTAAGCACTATAACATCTCATAAAGATATGTTGTTTAGGATGTGCCTTAGTAGAACCTGTGATCCATCAGGGCCAATAAATTCTGTATGCAGTGGAGTGAGGACTTGAACAGGGAGGCAAAGGACACATTTATAAATAGGTGTGTCATATAAAGTGTCATCTATGGCAGACCTTCAGATACAATTTACAAATTGAATCAGCAAGATCGCAGGCATGACTTTACCTGAATTGGACTAGTTGTATTGTTTGGTGACCCTGAAGGGGAGGGGCTCAAGAAATGATTTTTTTTAAAAAAAAACCTCTGAATTTTAAAAAGAAACCTCTCTTAATTGTAGTGTTTTTAATAGCTCGGTTTTGAAAGAAAGATGAGATATCTTTTGAACACTGTAAGATTAAATACTGAGCTAGGTGTAGAGATGGACTGGATTTTAGGGAAATGGAAAGAAATGTGCGGAAAAATTAGAACTGGAATATGTTTGGCATGCTTGCCACTGCTGAGGAGCAAGTCAGCAGACTTGCTGCCATAAGTCGTGAGTCAGGGATAAAAATTCATCCACAGGTCAAAGCCTGTCCTGGATTGGGCAAACTGAGTCTATGAACACCTGAGACCCACGTGCCCTGTTTATCAAGTCCCTGCCCAACTTTTCATGCCAATCAAACATTAATGACCTGAGATAAGCATTATTCAGCACCACCTTATTTGTTTTATTCAAAAATAAGCCCAACAGTAGCTGTAGTAGCTGGATAGGTGATTGCTAAACTGGTCCTCATCCTCTTAATGATACATAAGTATTTGCTTCAAGGGCCCAGAGGGGACAACAGATTTCTTTGTCCTGTAGTGGAAGGAGAAATGCAAGTGTCCTGAGTTCTCCAAACATGGCAGTGACCAGCATCTGGCTGGTGGGATTACATGTATCAAAGTATTTTGATGACCGTCATGGAATGGGGGCCCAGACCTTAACAGTCACCATTTACACACAGGTTACAAAGATCAGTGAGTGGCCCGCATTCGAGTCCGCCTGTGGTATATTCCTGGAGCCAGCAATTCCAGAGTCAAATCAGTGATTACTGCTGTAAGACCCCATATGCGGTGAGGACCATGCAGAAAGACAGGCAGTGTGTGGCTGTATTGCCTCTTGTGGCAGAAGTTCGTGTAGCCCTGGTTTTCTTCTTGCAGCAAGTGGGAAATGGGGAGCGTGAAGACAGTCTCAACCTGCAAATCAAATTGCAAAGATAGGTGAACTTATGTAGAAGAACACATCTCCCAATTAGCTGCGGAGCTAGGGTTTCCTCTCACGTCTTGTGATCTTGTGACCACTTGCAGCCTTGATCCATGCCCATCGTGGCTAAAGCTGGCCATGTTGGGCTACGAGGTGCCCTAGGGGAAATTATCAACAAGTCCCTCTCTGAGGGACTATTCTCTAGGGCATTCAAGGAGGCAGTGGTACGCCCTCTCTTAAAAGAACCATCCTTGGATCTGGCAAAATTGGCTAATTACCAGCCGGTCTCCAATTTGGGCAAATTAATTGAGAGAGCAGAGGCAATTCAGTTGCAGGGTTTTTTGGATGACACCTCCACATTAGATCCAGTTCAGCTTCTGACCTGACCATGGGACAGAGATGGCACTGGTCACCCTCATGGAATACCTTCGGAGTCTGGGAGTCTGGGAGTGTTCTTGGATGCCTCCCTAATGACGGAGGCCCACTGCGAAGTCAGCCTTCTATCAGCTTCAGCTGATTAGGCAGTTGATGTCCTCGAACGCATCGACTTGGCGACAGCGATCTATGCAATCGTCACCTCGAGACTGGAATACTGTAACGCTCTCTATATGGGACTGCCCTTGTCCCAAATCTGGAAGCTGCAGCTGGTGCAGAATGCAGCAGCCAGATTGTTGTTGGGTCTCCCCATGTGGGAGCACATTCGGCCTGCACTAAAAGTACTGCACTAGCTGCCCATAGCGTACTGAATTTGCTTCAAGGGGCTGGTTTTGACCTTTAAAGCCCTCTATGGTCAGGGCCTACATACATGCGAGACCATCTTTCCCTGCATGTTCCTCAGAGAGCACTATGATCAGGGTCCCAAAATCGTTTGACCCAGGCTGGCTTCAACGAGGGCCAAGGCCTTCTCAATGGCAGCTCTGTACTGGTGGAATGAGTCCCTTTGGGACCTTTTACAGTTCTGCAGGGTCTGTAAGACAGAACTCTTCCACCAGGCCTTTGACTAGTGAGCGGCACTTAACGAACCGAGGCCTTGACTTCCGGTTTAAACATTTCACCACTCGGACGTGTCCCGTCTCGCTCTGATGGGGATGTGCTGAGACCCGGCTGACGGGAGGGGTCCAAGTTCATCCCGGACCTCCCCAGGGTCTCTGTAGGAGACCCTCAGCCTGGGGAGCTGAGGAGAGCCTCTTCCGAGGCAACGGCCAAGGAATTGAGGCTCACCTTATCCCCAAAAGGTACAGTTGCCATGGAGCCAATATGGCGCCTAGAGACGACTGCCGGAGCAAGCGACCACGATCAAAACTTTAAAGTGCTTCCAAAAGATCTCCAGGTCTCCAAACTGTGAGTTAAGCAATGCTCAGGTGAAAAAGCGAACGGACCTTGGTAGTAATTGGAAGTGCCTAAGTTTGAAGCATGGAGGGAGAGAGACTAAGCACCTCCCCCCCCTCTTGTTGAAAAAGATTTAAAAGCGGTTTTAAATTGGAAATAAAAAGACTTAGAGCTAAAATAAGTGCATAAGAAGTTAAGCGAATGCAAAAACTGCCAATATATACAAAGCGGATTTAAATTGTATAACTTTTGCCTTGTTTTGGAAAACTTACTTCTTGTTGATATTATGGCTGGGAGGGGACGGAGGGTGCTGGAGAAAAAACTGGTGACCAGAAATAACATACCAATGACTCCCTCTCAGACTTTTCTTCACTGTTAGCAAATGCACTGCGCCCCCTAATGGAACAGATGACTAACTGCAACGCCAAACTGGACAGTGTTCAAAAACAACTGAATCAAATGGATAAAAGAACCTCAGTAACTGAGAAAATGTTGAAAAAAATGGAAAAACAGATTGAGGGGTATCAACAAGAGAGTAGATGAAGCAGAGAAGGAAAGATCCTCCAATAAAACACAACTACTACAGCTCCAGCTGGAAAGATCTACGTATGTTTTACGTTTCCATGGGATCCCTGAAGAGAAGAGTGAGGACTTAAAAGAACTTTTGGCGGAGGCTTTGGCCCCGTTAATGGATTACAAACAGGAAGACCTAGTGAAAGAGATGGATGTAGCCTACAGGACTTACCCGGATTTTATAAAGAAAAATAAACTCCCAGGGGAAACCTATTTAAAATTCACGAATGGGAAAACCCTTAAAAATTAAGAATGAAGAGATAAAAATACTAAAAGATATTCCCTTTGAAGTCAGAAAACAGAGGAAACTATACAGGATGCTTACTCTCACTCTGCAAAAAAAGGGAGTACCATATAGATGGTTATTCCCAGAAGGACTGAGCTTCAACTATCTGGATAAAAAATACAAAATTGTCTCTGTTCCAAAAGCCGAAAAATTTATGGACCAAATGTTTAACGCAAAATATAAGAAGAAAGAAAAGAACTCAAAACCAGATCAGGAGGAAGAAGAAGAAGAGTCCTACTCACAGGATTCAAAAAGCATTACTTCCATATCACCAGAAACATCGGAATCGGAGAAAGGAAAAGCCGCCCCCAAACTCAAGAAAACGAAGAAACGCAGGAAGAAAAGACTCTAGAACAAGAACAACAGTTTTTAAAGGCAGAATTTGTTTTAAGCTATTAAATGCATATTCTTAAAGTAATACTGTAATGAACCAACCTGTATACCAAACTTGTAACATTAGGTTAATAAGCCTTATTTTTAGCTAATTAGATTGTGACATTTTTTTTTTGCTTTCCTTTCCCCAAATCCAATAGATGAAATAGTTTAGAATAGTAGCTTCCTTTCCCCATCAAGTAGTTTTTTATGTATTAGTTTGTCCTCTCCCCATTTCCCATAGCTATAGTGATAGGGTTTTAGTTTCCCTCCCCCTTCCAACTTTTAGTTGTAGTTTTTGTAGTTTATAGAAAATGCATACAAAAAATCCCCTTCGGGGGGCATAAAAACAAACAAACAAACCGAGGACCTGGCCCCAACACTAATACCACCACTGGCAGCCTCTGTACTCTGCCGATATGACCCAGACTGAGATGTCAGCTGACTGTACTCTTATGCTGATGCTACTACCGCCTTGCCATTGCTATATGATTTGCACTAGCACTTTATGTAGTGTTTTTATATATATTCATATTTTACATAATTCTCTGTTTTATTTGCTCAATAATTTCTATGTAAGCTGCCCTGAGCCTGCTTCAACAGGGGGGGTGGGGTTAATAAATAAAGTCTTAAGAGTTCTGCTAGAACAGAAAATCACAATCCCAGCCCTGACGGGAATACTCACAAGCCTTCCAATCTGATCTTTCAGTCCTAACTATAGTGCAGGAGTTTGTGGCTGCTTCTGAATCATGTATCTCCTCACCACACCACACCCCCATCTCTGTTAGAAGTTCCCGGTGCAATGTCCTCCAGACTTTGTGACAAGAGAGACTACATAGCAAGATAGGCACAGAGACCTTTCTTCCTGTGTTTACTCTTCTGCCACTCTCCCCTTTGATATGTCGATTGTGTTCTCAGGGACTTTTCTGTGTCATTGATTTGAAGATGGTCTCCCTCCCTGCACACACCAAGAGAGAGACGTGTGGTCCTCTCTTGGCACCATGAGGCAGATCGGCCTCTCACCATCTGCTTCCATCCTTTAGGTAGTAAGTTAGTACTCTACCCTGTCTCTACTCTTTCCTATCCAAAGTCTACTTCTCAAATAAAGATAGAAGTATTTCTCTTCTAAACTTGCAATGTTACTCTGTGTAACTTTGTAAGCTGAGTAACCTGGTAAAGTGACACTCCTGGGTTTGTAGCTTTATATAAGCACTCTGCTAACTAGTGGTAACTGGATTAGTCCACACCAGTTAACCCCAGTAATCTCTCTCTGACAAGGTCTAATAAAATGAAAGCCTGACTTTTACTAACATTACCAGGGAGATGTGAGTCAACAGCAGTCATGCCTCCCCAGCATAGCTAGTTAGGTGGTCCCATCTTGGCCTCTACCACATTGATGTCTCTCACACAAATGCCTCAGACCAGTAAGTGGAGGCACTGGAGAGTGTGACTCTCTGGAAAACACCCCCACACAGGGCAAAATGAGAAGGTTCAAAGATGGCCTGGTTGTTTGTCATGATTGACATCTTTAGTAAACTGTAGCAGAACCTAAGAAATCAAAATCCCTTAGGGAGAGCACGCATTTTTTAAAATAATACAAAGCCTCAATTACGGCTTTTACCCCTACCTATCACATACTTACCAAGGAGCTCAAGGCAGCACATATGATCTTCCCTTTCTCAATTTTATCCTCACAACAGTACAGAAAAAGTGGGGATTTGAACCTGGGTCTCTCCAGTCCTAGTCCAACACTCTAATGGTTCTATCCACCACATCACCCTGGTTTTCACACTACTCCTCCAGAGGTGATAAGCAGCAAGACTTTCTTTCTTAATTTCTCAGCTACCTGCCGATTTCTCCAGGTAACCATGGGACACTGCACATGACACACAGTGTTAGGAAAAGCCCATCCACCTTGTCTCGGTAGGAAAGGAGATCATTAAAGTGTAGTAAATGTTAACAGATGGACAAGGAGTGTCAGCATTTCCTGTAGGCTCCTCGCTCAGAAAGGTGTCAGCTATGCTGCCATGAGTGCAGCTGCTTGACCTGTGCACCAACTGATGCCGCATTCCTTTGTCCTTGCTTATCTATGACCTTGCTAGCTCGTTGTCTGTGAACATAAGAGACGCCAATGTTGGATCAGGCCAAAGGCCCATCCAGTCCAACACTCTGTGTCACACAGTGGCCAGAAATACCAGTGCCATCAGGAGGTCCACCAGTGGGGCCAGGACATTAGAAGCCCTCCCACTGTTGACCCCCCCAAGCACCAAGAAGACAGAGCATCACTTGCCCCAGAGCCCCGATCTATACCTTGTGGCTAATAGCCACTGATGGACCTCTGCTCTGTCTGTGTAGTGTCTTCCCATCTATTACCCGTGGGATAAGTTTCGATTCCCAGCTTTGGCTTTAACGGCCTGGGGCCCCATTCTCCTGTGTGCGGGAGTCAGGCCGAATGGCCTAGGAGTGGAGGGGGTGCATACGAATACCCTATATCCCATTATGCTTGTAGGAAAGACGACTGAGGGGTGACACGATCGAGGTTTATAAGATTATGCATGGGAAAGAGCAGGTAGAGAAAGAGGTACTTTTCTCCCTTTCTCACAATACAAGAACTCGTGGGCACTCCATGAAACTGCAGAGCGGTCGGGTTAGAACGGATAAAAGGAAGTACTTCTTCACCCAAAGAGTGATTAACACATGGAATTCACTGCCACAGGAAGTGGTGGCGGCTACAAGCATGGACGGCTTCAAAAGGGAATTAGATAAGCATATGGAGCAGAGGTCCATCAGTGGCTATTAGCCACAAGGTATAGCTAGGGGCTCTGGGGCAAGTGATGCTCTGTCATCTTGGTGCTTGGGGGGGGGGGGTCAACAGTGGGAGGGCTTCTAATGTCCTGGCCCCACTGCTGGACCTCCTGATGGCACTGGTATTTCTGGCCACTGTGTGACACAGAGTGTTGGACTGGATGGGCCTTTGGCCTGATCCAACATTGGCGTCTCTTATGTTCTTATGAAAGTAGCCATTCCTAACAGTGACGATGTTACTGCCTCTATAGCTCTTACAATAAAGTATAACCTTATGTTAAGTGTGCACTCCGTTGTTTGGCTGTGGAACCTGACATTCTGTTAGGAATCTCACCTTCTCTATCTACGCGCCTCTCTCCACCCGAGATGAGCGACGAAGAGGAGAAACCTCCAACAACGACTGGGGGGGAAACCCCCATCACCCAGACTGAGATACCCGTAACGACTACGCCACCGATGACTACCCCGTGGAAGTAACCAGGGCCTGGAACCGTACCTAAGACAACCTCGACCCACCTTTTCCTGACCCCCTGCAGACCGAGGCAACCGCCTGGGCAGGGGTATCGACTGAGCTCGTTAAGGTGGGGCCACTTTAACCCAGACTCAATGACGGAGACGTACGCGCTCACGCAGGGGCCCCAGAGGGACAGCCGGTTTGATGTGGACTTTGCATCTACGCTCCACGGGGGGCCCGGAGCCACAGGGGGCTTCCCCTCATTAGGGGGAGTCCTAGAACCGCCGCTTGGGCCCTGGTTGACGGACCGCTCCAAGACGTGAAGCGGGTGCTCCTCCCCGGACAAGGGACTGGAATTGGTCCATCGCCTGGAGGCAGTGGAACGGGACAGGCGCCAACTGAGATGAGAACTGGAGGAAGTAATCCAAGTGATCCCAGAGATGGTGCTGCAAGCTATAAGGGCCGAGAGAGAAGCGCAGCAGCCGGCTTTGGCTCTTCCCCTCCTCAACAGGTACCCCCAGAACCGAGGCCACAGGACCAGAGGCTGCGGGGCCCGCCGGATGTACCGGTGTCGGGACCAGGGGAGGCCCCGATCCCAGCGCCGTGGACTGATCACAAGAACTTTGTCCTTGCTTATCTATGACCTTGCTAGCTTGTTGTCTGTGTAGTGTCTTCCCATCTATTACCCGTGGGATAGGTTTTTATTCCCAGCTTTGGCTTTAACAGCCTGGGGCCCCATTCTCCCACGCACGGGAGTCAGGCCAATTGGCCTAGGAGTGGGGTGTGTGTGCGTACGAATACCCTATATCCCATTATGCTTGTAGGAAAGTAGCCATTCATAACAGTGACGATGTTACTGCCTCTATAGCTCTTACAATAAAGTATAACCTTATGTTAAGTTGTGGAACCTGACAAAAGGTAGTGTTTGACTCACCTCTTGAGAGTTAGGCTTCAGGGTGAGATGCTCCAGAGGACCCAGGTTTGCAAGTACAGGAGCCACAGTCAATCCTCTCTGAAAGGAAGCCAGAGTTAAAAACCAAGGAACTTGAAGCTCCCCCATGCTTTTCCTGCAAAGAATAGCCAAAAGTGCTAAATCCCTCAGCCAAGTCCCCACACCACAGCTCCGGGAATTACTCCACTCCACGAGAATTCCGAAAACCAACTGTCAACCCCTTGCAGAAACCCATCCAAGAGCAATCCAATTCCCAAAGATACTGGGACCCTGATAGACCATTACCCGGTCAGGCACAGGTTTCATGACTCCCCAGATGCAGTCCTCCCCAGATACACGTAGATTCAGCTCTTCATGAGTCTCCCTGATGGCTGTGGCGATGGCATCCCGGTCACAGGAGTCATGCTTACCACCTGGGAAGCTGCATGAGCAAACCAAAGTTCTTTTACAAGACTAGAAAGTCAAGGGACTCTTGTGGTGATTGGAACTGAAAGGCAGCGGCAGACTTGAGAGGAAGAGTCTGGTCTAAGAAATTAGGAGGACCATGCATTGTGACTGAGAACTATTTGTTTGCCTCTGAGAATTATGGAGCCCATGAAGGAGCAAACAGAGCTTCTGAAGAGAACAACTTTCCAGCCTGTTCAAATGCATTAGAAAAGAAGATTGGGCCACCCAATACCTAACATCTCCTTTGTGCATGCCAGTCATGGTGCTGGAACGCAAGGTATACAAGATGGCTGGAACCCCAGCCACAGAACACAGAGACACCAGAACAGCTGCTGACACACGCTCTTGTCTATAGCGGTCGGTGGATGCCTTTAGCAGTCTGCGACACCGTTGCTCATTTTCCCAGGATAAGTATCTGCGTACTGTCCCCATATTGAAAACAGGTGTAGGGGGCATACCATGGCAGAGGTGGCGAAGAGCTGTTAACATAGTGCCCTGCAGAGGGAGGAGAAAAAAAGATGCTCTCCATCCAAGCTGAACCAGAGGTAAGAAAACAGGCAGCCAGTGATACTGCACAAAGATGCCTCAGTGAGTATCCCAGGAATTGACAGGAGACAGCGATCTTTAGTATTTACAACCACATGAGCACTCATTATCAACTCACCTCCTATTCCTCAGTCCAGTAATGCTTTAACTGCTTGGCCACGCTATACAAATGTCTGCTAGAGCACAAGGGGGAAAAGAAAAGAAGTCAGGTCTCTGTCGGAAATAAGTATGATCCAGCAAAAATTTTTTAAAAAAGACCCAGCAGTTGTCCAGGACCCGCCACTCATGGTGGCCCTTGTTCCATCAGCCAGCTGGAAGGCAAAGGCAGATACCATCCATGGTTTTCTGGCGGCCAAGGGGACAGAGAAATGCCAGCAGAGATCATCTGTTTGATGGTGTCAGCAAAAGCCATGAGATTAGGGTTGCCCATCCCCAGTTGGGGGCAGGGGATCCCCTGGTTTTGAGGCCCTCTTCCTGCTGGAGTTATCAGAAAAGGGGGGGGGATGTCCACTGGGTGCTCCATTATACCCTATGGAGACCGATCCCCATAGGGTATAATGGAGAATCAATCTGTGGGTATCTTGGACTCGGGGGGGGGGCTGTTTTTTGAGGTAGAGGCACCAAATTTTCAGCACAGCATATGGTGCCTGTCCTCAAAAGAAATCCCAAGTTTCAAAAAGATTGGACCAGGGGGTCCAATTCTATGAGCCCCCCAAAAGAATGGCCCCAATGGAGGGAAGGCATTTAAAAGGAACACAGTCCCTTTAAATGTGACGGCCAGAACTCCCTTTGGAGTTCAATTGTGTTTCTTCCCTCCACTCTCCTGGAGGCTCCTGGAAAGTCCTCCGCCAGCTTGTCAGCCTCACCTGGCAACCCTACCTGAGATGTCTCTTGAGCAGGGGGAGCGGGGAGCAGTCTACCATATTGGGCTGGTCATCAGGGCAATAAGGGCTGAGGGAAGTTAGCTATCCTCAGGAGAGGGTTGTGGGAAGATACAGAAGGCCTCTCAGCTCAGGGCAAAGGAGGACTTCTCAGCCACCTGTGACAGAAGGGGCTGGAGCAACAGGCAGGAAAGAGAAGGACTGACCTACCACCAACCCCCTCCCTTTCCCAGCTGGGACTGGGGAGCTCCCAGAAGGAGGCCATGGTCATCAGCCTGCCACGTCACCACTGAAGTGTGAGCCCATTTATGCCTGCCTGGTGGCTCAGGTCCATTGCTCAGTTGGTCCTAAGGCCACTGTCTAGCTTGGCCTACACATAAAGCAGGAGGAGGTGATAGAGTGGACCTGACATTGTTGAAGGCTCAATTCCTTAAAAAATGTCCTCCATATGGAAAGCTGTGCTGTACTAGTTTTTTACTTGCAGTGGATTCTGTACATGGGGAAGTACTGCAAATGGCATCCCCACTAACAACAGGTGCAGTCTATTTTACCCCCTCGCGATTCTACCAACCCAAATGTTGCTGGAGGCCAGGCCTGAGGCATTTCACAAGCCTATGTGATAAATCCCATTCCCCATCCCTCAATGCACATAATTTTATAGACTTTTAAAGGGCCCACAAATACTGAGTTAACATCAGCAACACACACACACACACACTAAAAAAAAAATCTCTTATTCTCTTCATTCCGATGCCCAGGAATGATGATGGAGATCAGTTCCCTCCTGGAGAAAATGGCTGCTTTGGAGGGTCGATACTGTGGCATTATTCTCTGTTGAGGGCCCTGGCCTCCCCAAACCCCGCCCGTCTCCAGCTTCCACCTCCAAATTTCCAGGTATTTTCCAACCTGGAGTTGGCAATCCTGTCCAATAGCCCACCTACATGTACCCAACTTAGGTGATGATGCAGTCTCTCTGCCATAGCTCGATGCTGATTGAGATTCTGGTTATGAAAACAGTAAGATCCCAGACAATTCAAGAAAATAATCCTATTTATGTAATCATTTCTTTTGGGATAATTCACAACGGCTCAGAGCCAGGGATTGGAACAGGCCCCTAGCCATGGCGGGGCAATTCAAGGCTCTGCCCCCTTTCTTAAAGGCTAGCCCCACAGGATCTCCTTGTCAAAATGTTTTTTAAATTATTTTAACCACTAAAAAACGCACACTCCCGCGTCTTGCTGCAGCGGCAGCTATTTGAGCTCCCAGTCCCTGGAGCAGGTGACTGTGATCTTGTTCTTGGCTGGCCCGCTGCGGCCATGGCTCTGTCCTGGGGGAGAGGGCCAGCCCTGCTGCAGTTTGTGGCCTGCCAACTGAGAGCAAAGGGGACTGCAGGCAGAGGAGAAGGGAGTGGGGGGGGAGGAGTGGGCAAGGTCACCCCCTGCAAGAAGGGCTGTGGCGAGAAAAAGTTGCTGCAAGGGTTGGTAAAGAAAAGAAAGAGTCACCACCTGCCCAGGAGCTTTTTGCTGAGCACGCAACAGCCGCTTCCTCTTTTTTGGGAGGAGGTGGCGGCAGCCCGCTTCCCCAGACCGCCACTATCGAACACCTCCCCGGCCATACAGGCCACTGAGCATGTGGATTCCCGGCAAAGACCAAGGAGTGGCGGCGGCGCCGGCAGCTGCTGCCCTGATGCACCGGAGGGGCTGCAAGTTGCTGAAGATATTTGGGAGAGGGGTCATAGAAGGTGGAGGAGGAGCACTTTGCCCACATCCTGGTAAGTCTGCGAGAAGCCCCCCCCCCGCCTTCCCCCCCTTCCCTCCAGCCCCACCAGAAAATGTTTTGCCCCACAAGCCACAAAATCCTAGCTACAGGCCTGGATTGGAAGAAGGTGAACTGGAGTCCACTGGTGGATCACCAACCAATTGCTAGTGTACTACCGAGTGCCTGGTGGTTTCTGAGATCCTTGGAAGCACGCGGAACTGCCTGTTATGTTTTTAATTCTGTCCTTGCTGTAGAAAAGCTCAGAGCAGCACATATGGGTCTTAATGGATCTCGGTTTGATGCAACAAGGTACATATTCCTAAACATAAGTACATTTTCACACCATAGTTCTCTCTTCATTTTATCCTGTTTCCAACCCTGCAAAATAGTCATGCAGGAAGCTTCATGCCAGAGCAAGGATTTTAATCTGGATCTCTCCAGTTTTAGCTTGACAGTGTAATCACTACTCATGTGTGGTATTCCAATATGGATAAGCGTACTTAATGGCACCATTGAACGTGTTCAATCTAAATTTCTCCGAAAGATTATGGGAATGCTGCGCTGTGTACCTTATGCAGCCCTATGTTTAGAAACCAGGTTAAATTCTGTGGAATCTGGCATGTGGCTTACTACAGTAAAATATTGGCTGCGTCTACATTACAATGTAGACCAAGGGAGCCTTGTACAACACATGCTCACAGAGTCAAACATGTCTGATTGGCTATCATACATTGAGACTAAAATAACTAAAATAAAATAACTGCCATGGGCATCCCATTGGACTCACTGCTTATGCTCCCTTTTATGGGCGCCTTTCAGATGATTAAATGCAGAGCCCTCGATACTGAGACACAAAGGGCTTTACAGTTTAGCCCCCCCTCACGCAGGGCTGGTGCCAGGTCTTTTTGCACACTAGGCGAGGCTACCTTCTGGCGCCCCCCCCCATGCGCCCCCCAATTTTCAAACATAAATGCATTTTTGAAAGAATGAAAACACAAAATTTGAAATTGCTCATTTTTTTAAATTGTGAGAATAAGTAATACGATCTCTGATTTTCTCTCTCAAACAGAAAAACCCAAATCACAAAGCATTTTTCCCCCTGGCTGAAGCATCTCATCCCCGAAAAGTCAGGCATCCTTTGAAAAACAAATCAGAGTTAAAACCAGGCAGGGTTTCCAGTGATGGAGAAACTAGAATTGTTTTCTGCAAGTGAAATAATAACTTGCAGCTCTTCCCCTCACCCTGAGAGAGTTGCCCAAGAAAAGCAGCTGCACAAAGGTCCTGAGGGCAAGTCAGACAAGGGCAAGTAGCAGATTTTCCTCCCAGCCAAAGGAGGGGACCTCCCTCGCCGCCGCCTCCTGTCCGGGAGAGCTTCTGCGCCAGTCCAGCGCTTCTGGCTGTAGCTTCCTCTCCCAGGGTAGCATTTTACTTTGCAATATCAGGATTGGGCGGGGG